AACCATGCAGGAGACTCTTACACATTACCAAGTCCTGCTTCCAGCTTGAGATAGAGGCTTGGGTCCCCTCTTGTGTGCTGACCCTGAGGAAATGCCTCCCAGAAGACTTGACCTCAGTGATGTTGGTCTCTTGTTACTTACAGCTGATTTTTCAACCCCAGCTAACCAGCATCAATTGTCCCAGTAAAGCAAAGGTTTTGCTTGAGGCTCTGGTCTCTTCTTAATCACAGCTGATTCTTCAGCCCCAGCCAACCAGAACCCACAGATTCTCAATCTAAAATCTCATGTGAACAGCCTTGATGGTCTCCGCTTCCCTTTGAAGCTTCACAAGCCAGGCCTCCATCATCTACAACTCCTTCGACATAACTGTTCCAAGCTCCACAGCAACAAATTCTGAGTACTCAATGGCCTTTCCAGCCCAAAATTCCAAACATTTCCACAATCCTCCCAAAAACACCAAGGTCAGGTCTGTCACAGCAATTCCTCACATTCTGGTACCAATTTCTGTCCTAGTTTGTTCTCTTCATTGCTGTGACAAAACACTCTGACCAGTACCAACTTGGGGAGGAAAGGGTTTATTTGTCTTACATCTCCCAGGTCGCACGCAGTTCATCAGGGAGCCCAAGGTAGGAGCTCAGGGCAGGAACCTGGAGGCAGGAGCTGGAGCACAGGCCGTGGAGGAATGCTGCTTACTGGCTTTCTCCCCTGGCCCCTATTCAGCCTGCTTTCTTATGCAACACAGGCCCACCTGCCCAGGGGTGGCATCACCCCGCGTGTGCTGGGCCCTCCCACATCACTCATCAAGAAGATGCCCCTCAGACACGGCCACAGGCCAGTCCAATAGAAGCAATTCCCCAATTGAGGCGCCCTCAACCCAGGTGTGTCAAGTTGACACTAAAGCTATCCAGCCCAACTACTGATTTTAAAAAATATCACTTGAGACATCTTCTTTCTGCCATGTGCCTGTAATGCATCTGCCCCTCGGGATTCTATCTCTGCATTTGCTATCTCCCACACTGAGTGGTGAGTGAGTCACACTGCAGGTCAGCACAAGGACTCCCTGAGCACCGCCTTCTCTTCTCTCTCCTGCCACACCGCTGAACAACAAAAAGGGTCAGATGTTTTACCAGGTGTCCCCCAAGGCTGCCGATGCACCAAGCACATCCAAGGGACAACGGGTCTCAATGGAGTCTTTAGTGCGCCTTGAAGAAGCAAAACTGCTTTGGCTTTGCTCATTAGATCAAAACATACTGAAACCCCAAAAGGGTGAAATGACGGGCTGACAATGCAAGTCACCCATTGGCTCCAAATGCACATTGCTTGACCTTCCAGCAAAGGAGAGTGTTACATTTGTGTCACTGAGTTTTCCATAATTTTTCTTTTACCACTGCTAAAATTGGAATCTTGAATGTCCTTCATAGGCCCGTGTGTTCAAGCTTGGTCCGTTCATGCTTCTAGCAGGAGGAAGTGGATCTTTGAAAGGTGGAGCTTGGTATGAAGATCATCAGTCCTTGGTGAAGGTCACTGTAGTGAGCAGTGTTACTCAGCCACACTCTCTAGAGTTATGTGCTAGCTCACTGCAGACCAAAACCCTTGAGTCAGACAAAATTTTTCTCTTAATGAAATGATTATATAAGGTATTTTATTATAGTGGTGAGAGCTGACCAACATACCCACCCAGCTGTAGGTGGGAAAGGTTTCCTGGGTACAGGTCAACACTTCACATATATGTTATCATATGCATGCATATATAGACATCTGTGTGTACGTATGATATATGTGCATATTCATAGGAGTGAGTACACCATGGTGCACATACGAATGTCAGAGGACAACCTCATCAATCTTTGCCTCCTACCTTATTTGTTGTTTGCCCTGTATCTGCAAGGCTAGTTAGCCTGGGAGCTCCTTGAGGCTCTCCTGTCTCCACATCCCATCTCATTATTGGAGCACTGAGATTATAGGTGTGTGCTACCATTTCAAACTTTATGTAGGTTATGAGGATCTGATCAGGTCCTCGCACTTGTTTGGAACGTATTTTACTCACGGAGCCATCTCCCAACCTCATGCTTGATATTTTAAGAGTGCCAAGGACAATGGAAGGATAGCGCCCATCATAAAAATGAGAGAAATGGGACAACTTACTCTTTACTGATTCAGAACCCAAGCAGCCAGCACATGCAAATTATGCCTTTTGTTCCTATGCATGTCCTGAACATCTTGCATTTTCACACAAAGTCTTATCGAAGAACAAATTCTTAATCTCTCACTGTTTGTTCAACCTGTTTTATAAACATAAGCTGTACTACTTTCGATGAGCTTAGAGTGAACAGAGTTCATGCTATTGTTGTCTACATGTAAATGTATATTAATATCTACATTTGTGTACCAATATTTATACAAATGTAGCAGATCAAAATGGTTCGAAAAATTAGTTCTGTGGAGGAAAACTGGACTCACATAGGTCCTGCAAGAACTGTTGATAAAATCTAAGGACCAACACGTCTCACAAAGCACTGATTGCCATGCCTGATCCCACAGAGAATTCATCTCTGTGAATAATTGTTTGGTGCTGTCATCTATGCTTTTTATTTTATTTTATTTTTTTTTCCCTATCTTTTTAAATGTATCCACTAGGCTTGGTTTCAGAGCCTACAGCCCAGTCAGGTATATCCCATGATACTGGTTTACATCTTCAAAAGGCTGCTTTGTTATTTGTGAGCATCTAGAGGGCCCTTAAACAGCAGGCA